TCATGTTGTAAGAAGGGACCATTCCCTGGAGAAGGATGTCATGCTTGGTAGGGTGGAGGGTCGATGAAAGAGGGGGAGGCTTTCAACGAGATGGATTGACACGGTGTCTATGATGATGAACTCAAGTATAGCAGGGATTGTGGGGCTGGCGCGGGATCAGGCAGTGTTTTATTCTGCTGTGCATGGGGTCGCTATGAGTCGGAAATGACTGAACGGCACTTAACAACAACAACAACAGGCAAATTTTTAGAGTAACGTGATAGGAAACAAACTGACCCCCAAAACTCAACAATAATGTTACAAAGAAAGTAAGCAATAGAATTCCTTTGTTTTTCTTATCTCATAATGTCTATCTTTAAGATATATCCAATTATTAGCCTTCATTCATGAGGTAATGTACACTGCTAACTCTGAGATCAGATACCTAAAACAACAGGCAGCATCATCAGCAGGTACATAGAAATGTCAGGACAGTACAAATGATAAACTGTTGTCATGGAGACCTAAGTACTAAAAGACCAGAAACAGTATTAAACGTACATGGTGAACAGGGAGAGGGCTACTGATGCTTCGTGGGTCTTTATTTGTGTGTATTCTTAGTCAGTGAACAGACATGAGTATAACTAAAGGTGATCTGTACTTATCCTTTGGGTAAACAGTTGCAGTCTATTTTATCAAAGTCTTGAAAGGCTTAAGTTAAATCTGTTCTTATTAAACTGAACCTGAGGCGTTATATATCTAATCTGATACCAAATGTCAGAGGTTTAAGAAAGATCAAGGATAAGAACAGTTTGATTTTATCAAAATTTTCATTCACAATGGATCATTATAAATAGTCTAGGCATCAAAAAAGTCTAACTATCATCAAAATCTTTTTGAATTTCCCAAGTGATACTGAGAAACAAATAATCCCTAAACGTGTAAGTAAAGAAAATAGAGCAAAATGGAAAACAATCCAACCATTGACTGAAAAGCAGCAAAAGACACCCAAGTGTGGGGATGGAGGGAAAGGTCTGGAGTGTCCAAAGTCCATCTGCCACGAGACGCTCTTTACCTTATCACAGCATTCCACAGCTTTGGCGTACTCTCGAAGCTTCAGGTAGCACATGGCCAGGTTCAGAAAGGCAGCAAGCAGAAAGGATTCAGAAGCTTTGGACTCCTTTTCTGATAAACCATACTCCATCTCTAGCCAGGACACTATCTTCCCATACTGAATCACTGCCTGCATGTACTTGCCTCCCTAGAAGAAAAACACAAACAATTATTTGTTATACTAGGAGATTCCTCGGAAGGAAGGTTGGGCAATCCTACTTCCGTAGTGATACTGCCTTGGAAACCCAAGGAGGGGTCGCTATGAGTCGGGGCTGACTCGATGGC